AGTCATCGATCGGTTATTAATTCTCCGCACAGATAATGCTTCACGCAAATATCCAGTAGCGATAAGAGTATCCGTTACCCTACTCTTATCAGACAGAATGTTCAACAAACTTTTGATTAATCAGATTACGTCTTCGTACGTGTTGCAATTTCTTCACCATTCTGGCGCCATTGAATCGCGTTATTTTTTTCTTTTTTTTATGCAAACACAGTTAAATTCGTTATTTTCGAACAACTCGCATAGCAGTACTGGGAATATCAAAATTGTGTTCCTTTTTTCTTTTTACTTGATACTCCTTCAGACTGACTAAGATCGGTAAAACTTTGTAACCGATATACCGTGCCATCGATAACCGGTCCGTTTCCGCGAAGAAACGCTCGATTATTCCGAGAAGAGATTGGCTGTGCTCGTTGTCATCGGCGACAATGGAGAGTAATTACATTATCACGGTGTTGTATGATCGGCATTCGATGCAGCGAGTTACAAAACGTACAGTCATCGGCTCGTGTCCCGCAGAAGCGAGGTCTTTTTCCTTCAGGCAGGAGACAGATCGATTCGAGACCGTTGGCGGAGAACGTTGCACCTGTTATGCACAACGCGAGGAAACAATCGACCGAGCGAAAATGTTCTTCCCCGAGATAGCTAATCAAGATAAAAGCGGCGAAGTCACGATAACCGGAGATTGTTGTTCTATTTCGAGCCTTATTTTTCAAACGTGCCGCGCGTAATGGCCGCCCATATCGTAAAAGTCGGCGATACTCTACGGATAACAGGGTTATCTGTTGTACCTACCATTGTTGGACATTTTGCAAAAAAATCTAGAAACTCTGCAACACGTCGCTTTTCAATCCAGCCGTTGTTATCTAATTGGCTAATTGCCGCGCAAAAGATAGCATGCAGGTAATTGTTATATAATTGTTATATAATTGTTAACGTACTACAGACAGCTAGAAGCCAGTTACAGCAGAGTAGTAAATTATGAGGTTATGTTCATTGATACAATCGTGTACAGCGTGCTTGTGATCGCTCGCAAAAACTAGGCAACAGGTAACGTTTCTTATTCGATAGATGAACGTTAGAACTTTTTACACTTCATAAATAATGTTATTATTTTAATAAACTATAGTATCTGATTTTCTTTTTTTTTTTTACAAATGCTTAAAAAATACGGACGTTTAAATTAAATTAAATTTCTAGTTTATACAGAAATATATCCAATCGATTACGTGGGATGTTTCAGTGCCGACAGCAATTTTCATTTATCCGTATTATTCACACTGTTGTTGACCAATTAAAGTCAAGTATGTATGCGTCGAAGAGGCAAGTCACGAATCGACGTGTCTAACATCGGAAAAGAGCTCTTGAAATCCCTGAAAGTGTCTCGAATTACACGTCCCAACACTCGTACCAGTGTAAACGGAGATTTGACGACCTTCGTTGCAAGGATCGTTTCCTCCGATTCTTGTATGTTTTGAAACACGAGGACGTGTAAACTTTATCTGCTCGCCGATTTGAAGGCTGGAGACGCCTTGTAGGTTTCACGATGACTCGTTGGCACGTTAAATATTGAAACTTGTAATTTTGTACAACAATGAACCTGGAGCCATTTTAGCCCCTTCGGTGCTAGATGAAAAAAGTTGCACCTAAGCGAAAAATACGGAATCAAGCCAATAAGTAGTTTGAAAGAACAAAGTATATAAGAATTCTGTAAAAGAATGATAATTACTAAGCCAACTACTAGATATGTCGTTATTCGACAAGAGTTAACCCTTTGCACTCGGAACAATTTTCAATATAACCTATCAGCAACTCCGAGTCATTTTTTCTATCGGCTACCAACTGCTCCAGACTATTTAGAAAGGCGAAATCTTGCTTTGCCGTTTAAAAAGATGTGAATACATTTTTAAAAATATGTTTCATTAATACAATATAATAAAAAAAAAATATATAAAAATACAATAAATAAAAAAATTACTTTTTGAATTTCTTCATTTTATGGTTTTTTTTTTTCATTTTAACACAATTATTTATACGAACTAACAACATAGGCTTCCAAGAAGAACTAAAGAATATTTAAATTCAATATATGAAGTATTTAAATTAAAAAAACAATATTTCTTTTTGACGTCGCTGCTGCAGCGACAACGGAGTAACTTATCTTGCAATGTCGCCTCTGCGGCGACAGCGGAGTGCAAAGGGTTAAAGGCTCGAAATATTTCTGAAATATTTCTGAAATGTTCTTACGTACTGGATAAATAAGCGAAGATACCTTGCATTGAAAGATCTCTTCTATAACCAGATTTATAATGGAAAGCTTCATTGCTTGAAATAGTAACAGTCCAAGCATTTGCGAATGTTAATAGAGAGTGTACAATGTATTGTGTCGATAGACCGATTTCTTCCTCGTTGACGTAACGAAGGGGACAAGAAGAAGAAGAAGAAGAAGAAGAAGAAGAAGAATAGAGTACACGTGCACGTAAGTAGAAAGCAGTGGAGAGAGAGCGGGGCCGGTGTTTCTTTGCCTCGTACGTTCGCCGCGTGGCTAATCGAATAAAAATTAAAGGCGTCGATGTCGCGTCGTGGCGAGTGCAGCGGTGCCAGGTGAAACGCGCGCGCGAGTCCGACAACACACCGGGTCGAATCGAAGTCGATTCGACTCGCGGCGGAGAGGACTAGCTAGCTCGTTGGCCGGCTGTGGGCGCGGCGGGTATCCCGCTGTGTTTCTCCAACATGGCCGACACCGTACGCACACCCACGCCTCGCGCAGCCCTCTTTTCCCGCGCGCGTCCTCCATTTCTCTTCTCTTCTTTTCGCCTTACATGCGGACGCGGCACATCGAATTACACGCTCGGTGAAGTAATGCTCGAGACCGAGAGTCGCGCGGAAGAAACACATCCCCGTTGTGTCGTGTTAAAATTCCCGATCACCGATAACGATCCCCGAAGATTAATGGCTACGAGCCAACCTACCCCGGCTCTCCTCCCCACCTCTAATCGTCGAATAATTCCTCCGATTGATCCGCGGCGAATCGTGCATACACGCGGTAAATAAACAATTTTACCGAACGACGGGGTGACGATCGGATCGGATTAAATATGTACTTCAGATCGATCGACAATTCTATGCTTCCTCCTCCTCCTCCTCCTTCTTTTTTTTTCAAATCTGTGATCTAGCTGATCAAGTACACGTGAACTAGAGTATATTATTTAACTACACGTGAGAACGATGTTCTACAGGGTGGGCCAAAAACCACTTTCTATTGAAGTAAATCTGAAGTAATTTTAATCGTCGGATTGAATCGATGAAATTAGTTTTTTAATGTCTTGTGGAATAGGGAAGAAACTTTTGGTCCACCCTGTATTGTATTCTACATTCTAATAAACAATATATAGTATATAGTATATTATAGTATATTATAGTATATATAATATATTATTAGCATATATATATTATAGTATATTATGGTATAGTATATATAGTATATATATATTATAGTATATTATAGTATATTATTATAGTATATTATTATTAGATTAGTAATAATATATCTATATCTAGTAATGTATTCTAATATCTTATAAATGATATTAAGCAACGATATTTGAGATGCTCAAATATAGTAAGAATGCACAAAGTTAATTTGTAAGTGGGAAAAGGCGTGTAAAGTGTCCGGTATAATGCTTAATATGTTTACGAAGAAGTATAACAGATAATGCGTGGTTATAATATCTGCTAGTTGCATAGAATAATTTTCTGATTCTGTTTTCGAAATTGTAGCTTAAAAAAGATATTATGATAAATTGATGACATGTTGATGATAATATTCTCTATGAAATATGTGACTCGCTTACGTTGATCATATTCCACGATCGAGAGTTTGAAAATGTGAAGTGAAAATATGTAACGTACGTCTACTATTATTACTAATTCGAGAGGATTTCACGATAAAAAAAAAAAAAAAAAAA